GGGGGCAGCTGCCGCCTCCCGCCGGTGCCGGGCGGGGGAGCCGGGCGGCGCGCAGGCGGGAACGGGGGAGCCGGTGCGGGGGCCGCCGTGAGCCCGCAGCGCCGCGCCTGACGGCCGCCTGCGGACCATCCATCCCTCCCTGGAAATGCCCCTCCTGGCCGCGCCGGCAGCCGGGGCCGGCATGTAGCGCGGGGGGAGCGGGCTCCGCGGGGGCGGGAGAAGCCCCTTCCCTCCGCCCGCGCTCGCAGCCGCGTACACACCCCGTGCTCCGCAGCGAGGCGCACGGCCGGCCCTCCTCCTCCCCCGCCCGCTGGGTGCATGCCCGCCTCGCCCGGCGCAGGGACGGCGCGCCGCTGAAGCAGCCCCGCCGCCGGGCACCCCCGGGCGCCGGGCAGCGCCGCCGCCATGGCCGAGGAGAGCTCCGACGTCCCCAAAGAGTTGATCGGTAAGGGACGGGGCATGGCGGCGGGGATGGGGGCTGCGGGGTCCCGGGCGAAGGTGCTGCGGGGGCAAGTTTGGAGGCCGCCGTGCGCGGGATGCAGCGCTGCCGGAGATGGGGCTGGGTCTGTGGAGCCGGGGAAGCGCCGTGGGGGCTGGCCAGGGAGCCCGGGGGGCTCCGCTCGGGGTTGGAGAGACTCGCAGGAGCCGGCGGGGGGCGGCGAGGCCGCGTTGCTGCGTGCGGGGAATGGGCGGGCGGGGGCTGCGGGGCTGCGGCGGGCAGCGGGGAGGCGGCCGCGGGCAGGGACTGAGCCCTCGGGAGCCGCGGCGGGGCACGGTGTGTGTCCCCCCTCCGGAGCGGACTGTCCAGGATGCCGGCAGGCTGCGAGCGCTGGCAGACGCGCTGGGAAGCTGCCCCGGCCCCCCGCACCGCCGCCGCCCGGGGCACGTCCTCGGTGCGCCTCAGCCTGGCGGCACGGGCTGCAGCTCCGCTCGGTGCTTTTTTATTTATCCTCCCGGGTTTTGCGTAGTTTAAGACTCGTTTTCGTCTGGACGTAGGAGGGAGTAAGGGTATTTGGAATTAAAGTTTTATGGCCCCGTGCACAGGAGCCTCCATCCTGCATGGTATACGCTTAGGAACGCAGTTGCAGGTGATGGAGAGGACTCTGAAAATGCTGTCATCGCTTTTGGGGAGCTTCCAATAAATGGATCGTTACACACGCGGCGTGTGTGTAACCAGTGTCATTTGGGGATAACAGCTCTGATGCTCCAGGCCCTCAGCTACCTTGTTCAGGCTGAATTTCCTTTGGTTTTGCCTGTTGAAGAGCTATCTAAAGATCTCACCAGCATTGTAATAATTTGAAGTGTTGTCTTAAGGACAGATAGAAACAGAAATTTGTCAGGCAACAAGATACATGTAGCATTGAATACAGTCCTTCAGACCGTACTTAGGTAATTTACATTGTTGCATTTCCTTCAGTTTCGTCAGTAAGCAAGTGGTTTTGGCATTTAGCAAATATTGGTAAAATCTGGGTGGACATTTGCAGCTGCTGCAGATTTTTTTTCTGTAGAGTCAAAATAGCTCTATTTTGCAGTCCTTTTCGTCTCCAAACCATGTGGTTTATAGAGAGACCATAGTCTGTAGCTTACTGCTAAGAAATGATAAGCTGGAAAGAGTTCTAGGAGTAGCTATGGTTAAAACCATGGAGTTTCCCTATTTTAAAGTGGCCAGACATGTTTGAAGTGCTAATACACAGTATTTCTTACTCACCATGGGTCTGCACTCTAGTGTTGTAGGTGAGGTGTGCTGCATACTACAGGTGAGCATCTTCACACATCCCCTCCTCTGGTGGCTTTGAACCATCTTAAGAATTACCTCCCCAGCCCTGGTGCCCTGCACCCACTCAGCTTGATTTGTCAAGGGCTATTCTGAGGTGGGGGGATCTGTTCGTATAGATTGGTTTAATTTCTAGCAGTATTTTGGTGTTTGCATGTTAAAATTTAACCTTTAAATAGGCTCTTTGTAATAACCGTGTTTTGAGAGCAGGATGAAAGGATGTGCTTTAACACAGAGTGATTGGAGTGTGAAGATTAAACTGGGGGTAGGAGTGTTTGAGCTGCAGTTTTTGTTCTGTTACTCACTTCCCGTGTGACCTTTGTCAGGTCTCGCAGGTCATAGTCTTCAAAGAAACCCTCTCTTACTGTTGGCTTGCCTGGACCCACTCCTACCAATTGTGAATGTCTGAAGCCTCCAGCATTAGAAATGGATGAACACTTCGAAATGTGAACCCTAATGTTATGTTTCCATCTCTCAGTCTACAAATTTACTTTGTGTGTCCGCTTGCCACCCAATGTGGAGGGAATTGTCTTCAGTCTCATGGAGAGTATCTACGAAATGGCTATCTTAGCTCTTTGAAGCAGTGTTTCCAGCCCTTTCAGGCAGATAGAGCCTTGTGAGGAGCTGACATCCTGATGATGCTTTGTGCAGTCTGGGGTCCCAGGCCCCTTCTCTCCCTATGGCTTGTTGGAGTAGGAGTGCTGGAGCTGAGGGCTTGCAGTTATTCCCACTTCTGCTGTGTGGGACCCGTGGGACAGCGAAGGGAAGCGTGTCTCTCCATGCAGGTGTGTCAGGAGGAAGTCCCCTGGCTACATGTAGGCACTTGGAGCTGTTTGTGGGAGAGGAGAAACCGAAAAGCACAGGCTGCACGTGGAGGTAAAGTAGCAGAGACAGCAGCAATACCTTCTGCAATGAGACAGGACTTGATGAGAAAGACTCTATGGTCAGCTTACTTCTGGGTTCCCAAGCAGGGGCAGAAAGACCAGAATTGGGCATTACCCATGGGAGAGGAAGCCTTGGGAGAGCAGTTCACATCGGGCTGGACTTTCCCCCGGGTTCCGCTTACCTGGCTGCTCCGGGATCTCGCAGCCTGGCTCCGGACCAAGCGGTTGCTCCGGGAGCTGGCCGCGCTGGCTGCCTGCCACCGGGGCTGCCGCGGCTTGGGACAGGCTTCTCGCTGGGCAAGCTGCTGCTACCGAGGAGCTTTTGTTTCCTGATAGAAAAATTAAAATTCCTGGGGAAAGCATGCCGATTCTGCAGAAAGAGCTCTTTCTGGTGAATAGTCTCTCTGACCAGCCACGTTTCTGACTTGAACACCCTTCTGCCCTGCAGGCAGAACACGGTGGCCTGGGTTAAACATCCAGGCTTAATAAATGGTGTGTTGTTTGTGCTAATGTCTTCTGACTACCGGATGAAAATTGTGCAGAAAAGCGCTATACAGAGCACTATAATTAAAAGCCTTAGGAATAGCCTATTATCTTTCATTTTTGCTTTTAAACTTAAGCGTGCCCGAGGGCAAAGTGTATGTGTCTGGAGAGGGTGGAGACTTTCCTTTTACAGATGCCTGTTGTTGGGCTGGAAATAGGTTAATGTGTTTAAAAGATTTCTTTCTCGTTCCCTTTCAGTGGGGGCTGGGGAGTGAAACTTAGGGAAGGTGCCAAATTGGCTCTTCTAGATGAGCTCCTCTGTTTATCTCTCAATTACATCAGTGTCAGTAGTTGTATAAGCTTTCTAGACACAGTTCCCTGTGTGTATGTTCCCTTCAGGCCAGGGTGCAAATGTTCAGGGTTGTACCATAATTGGCAGAGACTTCGTATACATGTGTGTGCATGTACATATTAAAAAGTTATGGCAACTAATGTAACTTTGGTGCTAGCACCATGAGTGGCTATGTTGTTGCTGAGTTTTGGACCAAAACCAATGTTGCCTCCACAGCATCCTCTGCATAGCTGCCAGGTGTTACTATCTGGAAGTCTGCTTGGTTTGCTTCGCTACTTCAGTGCACAGAGTGCAAAATGTGTGAACAGTTGCTCTTCAATTGCCTGACCCATTTAGCCTCCTTGATATTAACAAGAGGCTGAAATTTGTGCAATGCAAGTAGATAATTTGCTTTAGTAAGCTTTTCAGGTACAAATAATAGCATTAAGGAATTTGTTTTATTTTCCCAGAATGGAGCTAAGCAGTGCTATGCCTTGTCTTGGGAATGCTTTTGATATGTAAGCAGTGCTGGAAAAAAAAAAATCAAATTGTGTTTAGAATCCAGGCATATGACATCAATAATACTATCATAGTAGACACAAATTATTGTGTAGATGGCATACTTAGAAAATTGTACTTGTGTTAGGTTGTGTTTAGTACTGGTGCATGTGCATGAGACTTCCATGAGTGCAAGCAGGCGGACAACATAACTCTGAGTCTTTCTGAAAACTCAACAGTGGCATCTGTTTCCTTCTTGTGTTGACACTGAAGGTATTTAATGAAGATATCTTCTTTTGTTTCAGAAAGTGTCAGGGATGTTATTGGGAGGAAAATCAAAATTTCTGTCAAGAAGAAAGTAAAGCTGGAAACCAAGGGAGATAAAGTGGATAACAAAATATTGGTAAGTATAATAGAATGTCTCTGATTACATAGGCAAAGGAAAAGCCAGTATCTTTTCAGAAGGCATTAATTCTCTGGAAGTATTCTTTGAACTTTATGTGTGCCATAACATGTCCATGTAATTTATTTTCTTACTTTTTCTTGCTTTCATGATAGTCTGCATAGGAAGTTGGTGTGCAGCTGTGTATGTGTGCACACACTTGTTTATCACCAAGTTATTTTTCAGAGTTTTGGGTGTTGTGTTGTGGACTGATGATAAAGCAAGCTATTATCAGAACCTGTTCTAAAATATTTTGCTGCCTTTGCTGGTTAAGCTTCCTGTTTACATCCATAAGAGTTCTAAGTGGCCAAGAAATGCAAAATGAAATGTGTAGAATTAATTTTGAGAATCTGAAGCTGTTACGCAGTGAAGAGCAACAGTAAACTGTTGGGCTTTTTGAACTCAAATGACTATTTGTGTTTTTTGGTATTCTCTGTTAAGTCATACATCTGCATTTTAAAAGAAATGCTTAATGTGTGGGATTCTAAATGGTTCTTAAAACTAATGGAGGAAAGTGTCAAATTAATCTCATTTAAATATGCTTTCCTGTTTTCTCAAGAATAGTTTTGCTGGCCTCTCTTGATAGGAAGAAAACTGTGGTAAGGAGCCTCTACATTTGCTTGCATACTGTCTTGAACATACAAAAAGACATGGAAGTGTATTTCCTTGTTCTTTTGATACATTTCTACCAGGAGAACTCTTAGAGTAACAAACACAAATAAGTACAATACTGCCATAATATTTTGCAAGATATTTGAGATTTGGTGTCTTGTGTTTGTGCTGTTCCATATTTGAAAGTTTTGTTGCCAAAGCTGTTGTTACAGATATTAGGTACATTCTCCATGCAGATGTGCTATTTTGTCTTTCAAAGCCACAGCGTTTTAATCACTTATGAATTATCCTCTTAA